AATAATATTTGCAGTCATGGATAAGTAAGGTCTAGAAGACTGAAGAAGGGCTAACAAAATGCCCAGTTAAAAAAAAAAGGGGGGGGGGGGGGGAGAAGAGAGAGAGAGAAAATAGGACCTGGGGAACAAACAAGACAATCAGTACTTTCAATCACTTCAATATCTGGGAAATTACCAGAAAAAAATTTATAAAAAACATCAATTTATAAACACATGGGGATGGGCTGATCTTTCCTGATCTAGCTTGCAAAGTTCAGAAGTTGGGAGGGGTTCCAGACAGAAGGACAGGATTAGTAAATCAAGAAGGATCATAGTAAACATGGGAACTGGACTACAGACAAAATTAAATGCAAGGAAATGTAAGAGGCCAAGCCATGAACCGAGAGAGATGCAATGATCGCGACCACTGCTGCCAAGAGTTAGTGACAGGTGGTGGTTCCCTCCTCTAGACCAGTGCTTTTCAAACTATCTCATGTCGCGGACCGGCAATTTTTTTTCCAGCGGCCCACGGTGCCCGGTTCAGCCGGTGGCAGCAACTGCGTGTAACAGCGTTACACAAATGCATGACTGGCTGTTTCTTTCTCTTTCCTCACCTCGCACGACGTGACATCACCTGGAGCGTTGGAACATACGAACTGTGGCGCTATGACATATCAATGTTATACTTTTGAAAATATATTTCTTTCTTTCCTGGCAACTCGCTGTGGACCGGCTGAAGGTCTCTGGGTAAATGCAAGAGGGGAGAGCAGCAGATGGGGGTGTCATGGTGGGTGCTAGCTACAGGCCAGTCGACTAGAAGGAATAAGTGGATGAGGCCTTCTGCCCGTTTAAAAAAAGCTTCCAATTTGCAGGATTTGGTTCTCATGAGGGACTTTAAATTGTCAGGACATCTACTGGGAGGGAAGCACAGCAGTGCACAAGCAGTCCAGCAAATTCCTGGAGCATGCTGGGGACAACTTTTTGACACGGGTGTAGAGACCTATGAGGAAAGGCTGAAAGTACTAGCAGTTGTTTAGTGTGGAGAAGAGAAGGCTGAGGGGAGATTTAATAATCTTCAAATACCTGAAGGGCAATTTCAGAGGGGGCAGAACAGGTACAGGCAAAGTATGACCTGCGGCAGACTCCATTTCCCAACAGCCCCTTGGCAGCAGCTCCTTCTGGCTGCTGCCACTGGACCCAGTCCCCCTGCCCAGGCACCCCAGCCCATCTGCCTCGCACTTATTGCCAGGGGCAAGACCCATGCAGGCAGGACGAGGAGCCAGGCAGCTAGGATGGAGCCATAAGTAGAAGTAAGACCCCGGGATCTTGGGGCAAATACAGCGTGGAGCCAGGGCAGGGCCATGATCCACGGGCAGGGGCATGCAGGAAGCAGATCACAGTTCTGCCCTGGCTCTGTGCTGTCACTGCTCCAAGATCTCAGCCCCGAAGCAGCTCCCCACCCAGCTGCGTGCCTTGCCACACACCCTCCATGGAGGCCCCAGGAGTGCAAAGCCATGACAGCATGGACCAGATCCCCTGTTCTGTGGCCCCTCATTCCCGGGATCTCCATGGAGACTGGCCAGTAGCCATGCAGACAGGGGCTGCTGGGAAATGGAGTCTGACTGCCAGCTGGATCTGTCATTTTGCCCATCCCTGGGGTAGAGAGAGGTTTTTCTCTGTGGCTGTAGGGGATACAACTAGGAGCAATGACCTGAAGATGTAGCAGAGGAAGTTATGGTTGGAGACTAGAAGGAACTTTCTGGCTATGAGGGAGGTCAAGCATTGGAACAGGATAAGTAGAGAAATCCTGAACTCTCTATTCTTGGGAACTTCCAAGAGCAGGCTGGACAGATATTTGGCTGGTATGGTTTAGGTGGGGATGATCATGCCCTGAGCAGGGAACTGGAATAGATGATCTTGCGAGGTCCCTTTCAGCCCTATTTTCCTATGATCTTAAGATAGCACACTGAGGGAAGAAAACAAAAAATGCAAAAATACAGAATGGGGGATAAATGCATTGGCACTGCCAATGCACTGCCAAGAAGGACCTGGGGTTTATGGTGGATTACAAAAGTCAACATGAGGCAGCAATGAAAGGCAGCTGCAAAATGCAGGAGGTCATCTTCTCAGAGCTGGTTACACCTTAGCCCTCGTATTGTTTCCAGTTCTGAGAAACATTTTAAGAAGGAAAACACAGAGCAACTGGACAGAATCCAAAAGAGAGTGACAAAGGATACAGGAATGGAATGCGACATATATGAAGGAAGGTTGAGAGAACTAGGTATACTTAGTCTGTAGAAAGGGAGATTAAAAGAGAGTGAATATTTGAAAGGGTGTCAACTGTTCTCCCTTTCTATAGTGGAAGAACCCAAAGAAATAGGTTTAAAAAGTACAGCAAAGTCCATTTAGATAAAGAACTGGGATGCGGACCACATCTCCTAGTCTACTGAGATGTGGAAGGCAGAGGTGCACCGATACGTTGGTCCGATATCGGACTGGCACTGATATAAAGAAAATGGGCTGCATCAGAAATCGGCCCAACGTGGCCAATAATTTGACCGATTAATGCCTATGCATGCACACAGCCGCAGCACAGCATGCAGGCAGTGAAGTGCACAGCCCAGCAGCTTGGAGAGCTTTGTGCAGCTAATAAGTCCATTGCAGTGGAAGGGGAGGGGGGAGGGGAAGGGCATGGGGGGGGCAAATCAACACCCCCCACAGTGAGGGAGGGAATGGAGCAAGGACTGGGGCAGGCACTGTCCAGCTGGGGTGGGGCAGGGTGCAGGACAGAGCCGCTGCTCATCCAGGGGATGTGGGGGACGTGTGCCCTATGGATCTGTGCAGGGCGGGATGGACTGGAGCCGGGGCTGTGCCAGGCACTGGGCTCAGGGCAGTCAGTGGTGCTGGGAGGGGGGCTATGGATAGGGGCTGCAGTCATCCTATTTTCTCCATAGGCCCCCCTTCCAGCACAGCCCCTTCTCAAGCCCCACTTCCACCCACACATCAGGAAGAGCTGGGACTGCACCAGGTGGGCAGCAGCAGTGTTGGGAGGGGAGGTTATAGGGGGGCTAGTGCAAAATTTGGGGTAGCTGCAGCCCCCCTCCAGCACCACCACTGCCCACCAAGCCTAGCCCCCGCCAAGAACAGCCTGGCACAGCCCCAGCTCCAGCCCGGAGCTGCAGCCTGCCCACCCCCAACATGCGCTCCCAGGGTGCACATGGCAGTGGAAGCTGCCCTTCTTTCCTCCCCCCCACGATGAGCTGTGGCTCTGTACCACGCCCTGCCCCACTCCTCCCACCTGACCAGCGTCTGCGCCCCAGCCCCACTCCCTCCCTCACTGCAGGGGGCACTGATCTGTCCCTCTCACACGCCCTCCCTTTCCTCACCCCTTCACCACAACGGACTTACCAGCTAAATGCAGCTGTATCAAAAATCGGATTGGTATCAGCCAATATGCCTCCTTAAAAATTGGCTATCAGTATCACCTCCCAAAATTTCTATTGGTGCACCCCTAGTGGAAGGACTAAAAACCCTCCCAGTGGAACAGCAATTCTTTTTCCTGTGTTAAAACAAATTTAGAATTTCTTCCGATTCCAAATTTCAAGGTAATGTCACAGGAATTACTGCCACTCAGTTTGCTGTAAACACCATACAAGTATCTGCTTGAAACTTTTCAAAGCATTCTCAACTTCTCAAGTCATATCAGTTTTAATGAAGACATTTATAAATAATTGCCTATGTTGCTTTAAAAAAAGAATCAACTGTTAATGCATAAGGAGGTACTCCTTCCTGATCCAATATCTTCATCATTTATGTGGAAGCACTTTCTGGAGCTTTCCTAGGAAAATTTTTGGCTCTATATCAGTCTTCCCTACCTCCTTATACATCTTTCTCTTATACACAAAAGCTCTGATATCCAAATGTATCAACTGGTACAGTTTAAACAGTGTTACTCAAGACTTTTTGGCTTATCTGATCACTCTTACATTACAATGGCCTATAGCAACCTGGCACAGCAGAAGCACTTAAAGGAAGTAATTGGCTCTTATTTGCAATCCGCTGTCCTCAGCAGCATTAAGATAGATGCTGTATTCTAGTGTACCAATAGCCAGGATTAATCCTAGAATACACTCATGTGGTACTAGACAATCTTCTATCAAATGAAGCAAATAAAAAGCAAATTTTTATTTGTATATTCTTTCCTATGCAATTTATGTAGTTGTACTATACCAGGACTAGCCACCCATTTTGACTTTGGTTTCAAAACTGAGGGGGGGGGGAGGGGAGCAAAAAGAGATGGTCTCCATCTATTTTGGGGTGTTTTTGCATATTGACCAAAAATTAGACATGCTAATTCCTGGTGATGAGACTTCTAGATTATACAAATTAGTTTCCCCCCATTTTAAGAAATACTGATATACAGAAGCATCAAGCTTCTCTTCTATGCAATACCACATTATGCAGTATACTGGAAATCTATCAACCCAATTCCTAGTAAAGAACAAAAAGAACCTTTAGAAGCAACCAGACTTTAAAGTAACCATACCCCTGTCCCAAACAGTGCAGATTCCACCAGCCCAGTACTAAGACATAGGGCAGGGATTCATTCTAAAGATACTACCAGAAAAACTCCATTACCTCTTCATAAGAATCTCACCCCCAAGGAAATCTCCCTGTTTCCTGCCTATAAAAGATCTTCCTATCTTTATAAAATCACCTTGGTTTTAAAATAAGCTGGAATAAATTTTGAATGGCAATATCTAATTTATTTTGTATTCCCACTACTTATTTCTCTTGTGCTTTTAATTTTATTTAAATATTTTTGCACTGAGAAAGTGGTTGAACACCAAGATAGAACAAGGCCAATAAATAGCTCCCTCAGCTACTTAACAAATCGTCTTTTGTTGTAGAGCACAGCTGAGTAAAAGAGCACAAACTTGCAAGGTATGAAATGTATCATGTGGAAGTTTTATGTTCTGCTGCCAATGAACCTGCAAAAATCTAGAAAGTTCTATACTAACCTTTAGTCGCCTCACCATCTCTTCTTTAGATATTTTATCAGAGATTTCTTTGACTCCTGGAGGATACGTAATTTTTCCATCATTGGTTCTCGTCTTTGAGTGAGCCATGTTTTCACTGATTTGAAAACTGAAAGAAAAAGAAAAGACCATATCAGACATTATTTTCACAGATCAGAGAATTTAACTACTTTAATGTAACTTACACTAAGTGTTATCCCATATCTGCTGCAATCTGTTTTACTGGCATATAATTTTCCAGGCTATAAGAAATACAAAGAGCTCCAAAACCACCTTTGATATTTTACATATCCAACTCCAACTAAAGTCTCTAGCAACTGAGCCCTTATAAACATAAAAGCTTCAACAAACTTTTTTTCTAGTTATCAACAGCATAACAGGACAGACCCTAATGTTTGCCTTCTCATATCTTGACAATAAGTACAAATGTTGTTTCAAATGTTCTATATCAGGGGTGGTCAACCAGGGGGGTACGCGTACCCCTGGGAATAATTTGAAAGGTCCCAGGGGGTACACGCAGGCAGGCGGGGATGGAGTGCCACCACCGCCTCACAGGAACAGGGTGAGAGCAGTGGCGCCCCCCTGCAGGCCTAATAGGCGATGCCCAGCCACAGAGAGAAAAGTTTGCACACAGCAACCGCCGCTGCCACTGCCATCCAGCACCCTGCACTGCCGCTCCATGTGCGGCTGCTGCCACCCTCCCCCACAACCGGCCACTGGGGGTACACTGCTCAAAAAAGGTTGAAAAACCCTCTTTTATATGAACGGGACATTTAAAATTAGAATGTGAATGGAACTGTAACAATTCCTCACCTTATATTTAAGGTGCCTTTAACAGTTATATTCACTCAGTAGCAGTGTAAATACATGCCCTCTAGTCCTCTTGGACTTCTAGGACCCTTCATAAGAGACTGTTTAAAAGGACTAGAAAAAATAAGAGAGAAATAAAAGCATTAAGTAAAGTTTTCAAAAATGCCAAGCAACTTAGGAGCCTAAATCACTAAGATGCTTCAAAACACAGTTTCAGCATATTTAAGTATTACCAACTGAAATTTGCCAAGGATATACAAAAAGCCCTCATCCCATGCCATATGAGGGACTGTGATCTGATCAACTAAGGAAGCAGAGCTATCAGCTATATACTTTAGGGGTCTGTAAATGAATGCACAGAGCCTGGGAAACAAGTGCTCACACAGTCAAGGAACTAGGATGTGACTGGAATAGCTCACATGACTGAAACACTGTCATGGATAGGTACAAACAGTTCAGGAAGGACAGGCAGGGGAGAAGAGGAGGAGGAGTTGTGCTGTATGTAAAAGATCTGTATGATTGCTCAGAGCTCCAGTATGAAACTGGAGACACCTGTTGACAGGAAGAGCAACAAGGGTGATGTCATGGTGTGTGTCTGCTATAGACCACCAGACCAGGAGGATGAGCTAAGTGTGGCTTTCTTCAGACAACTAGCAGAAGTTTCCAGATCACAGGCTCTGGTTCTCATGGGGGACTTCAAATCATTCTGACACCTGCTGGGAGGGCAATACAGCAATGCACAAGCAATCCAGGAAGTTTTTGAAGAGCACTGGAGACAACTTCCCAGTGCAAGTGTTGGAGAGACCAACTAGGGGGTAGTGCTTTTCTTGACCTGCTGCTCACAAACAGAGAAGAATTGTTGGGGGATGTAGTAGTAGATGACAACTTGGACAGCTGCAACCACGAGATGATCAAGTTCAGGATCCTGACAAAATGAAGGAAGGAGAACAACAGAGCAATATGGACCCTGGACTTCAAAAAAGCAGACAGACTCAAAAGGAACTGATCAGCAGGATCCCCTGGGAGCCCAGTCTGAGGGGGAAAGGAGTCCAGAAGAGCTTGCTGTATCTTAAAGAAAACTCACTGAGGGCACAGGAACAAACCATCCTGATGCACAAGAACAATACCAAATATGGCAGGCAACCACCTTGGTCTAGCAGAGGATTCTTCAGAGAGCTGAAGCAAAAAGGAAGCTTACAAGAAGTGGAAGCTTGGACAGATGACTAGGGAGGAGTATAAGAATATTGTTTAAGCATTCAAGGATGAAATCAGGAAGGCAAAGCACAAAGGGAGTTGCAGCTCTCAAGGAAGGTAAAGGGCAACAAAGAAGGGTTTCTACAAGTATGTCAGCAATAAGAGGGAGACGAGGGAAAGCATGGGTCCCTTACTGAATGGAGGAAGCAACAAAGTAACAGATGAGGAGGAAAAAGCTGAAGTACTCAATGCCTTTTTTTACCTCCGTCTTCACAGGCAAGGTCAGCTCCAAGACTACTGCACCAGGCAGCAGTCTGGGGAGGTTACAGCCAACAGTGGTGGAAAAACAGGTTAGGGACTATGTAAAAAAGCTAGATGTGTATAAGTCCATGGGGTCAGATGCAGTGCATCCAAGGGTGCTGAGGGAGTTGCCAGACATGACTGCAGAGCTACTGGGGGACCTCCCAGGCATTTGAAACATGTCTAATCAGAAGCTCTGCAGAAAAGGATCTGGGGGTTACAGTGCACAATAAGCTGGATATGAGTCAACAGTGTGCCCCAGTTCCCAAGAAGGCTAACAGCATACTGGGCTGCATTAGTATGAGGGTTGCCAGCAGATCAAGGGAAATAATTATGCCCCTCTATTCTGCACTGGTAAGGCCACACCTTGAGTATGGTCTACAGTTTTGGACCCCACCACTACAGAAAGGATGTGGACAAATTGGAGAGTCCACCAGAAGGAAATGAAAATGATTAGGGAGCTAGGGCACATGACTTGTGAGGAGAGGCTGAGGGCTCATTTAGTTTGTAGAAGAGAAGAGTGAGGGGGGATTTGATAGCAGCCTTCACCTACTGAAGGGTGGTTCCAAAGGGGATGTAGCTGGACTATTCTCAGTGGTGGCAGATGACGGAACAAGGAGCAACAGTCTCAAGTTGCAGCAAGGGAAGTTTAGGCTGGATATTAGCAAAAGCACATCCCAGGGACCTCTTAAAAATGCCTGCTTTCACAACCCCATTTAAACTTATATTGTAAAGTGACTGCCCGAGCTCAGAATGGGAAAGAAAGAAGGTCAAGATGAGTTCCACTGATGTGGGGAGAAAACTGCAGTATTTTTTACTTATGCAATGAAAGAACATTTAAAAATACAACTGGAGAAGCATTTATATTAGTTAAGACAAGGTAAGTCACACATAGACAATTAATAAAACCAAGTAAAATACAACCCTCAGGTTATTTCATCTGGCCCAGCGGCAGGCACCAACTAATTATCTAGTGCAAACTGCAGCTGTCCCTGCTACACTGTGCATGGGACCGAGTCCCACCCACTCCTGCCAGGGCAGTATGCTGTGCTCCACCCTCACCCATGGGAAGACCCCAGCACAGGCCCTAGCCAGTGCACGTAGCTTCCAGGCAGGGCTGTTACTGCCAGTGCCACTGCTGCCAACACTGCAGCCACCTAGAGAACTGCACAGCTCCCCTGGTCTCCAGTGGTTCCTTCTCCTGCTGCAGCACTCCAGGCAGCATACAGAGAAGCAGCAGTGGGCAGGATAAAGCTGCAACTGGCCAGGTGTACACGGCCAGAGCAAGTGGAAATGCAGAGTGCGGCAGCAAGACGCCCCCACAGGCTCCCAAACGGGAGAGGGCAGTCCCCACGGGCCCTAAAACCCACAAACAGCACCCCCACAGGGGGAACTTGCCTCCCGGAGTACAGCCAGAGCAGGAACCACAGCCACGCAAGCCGATGTTACGCCGGCTGTTTAAAGCTGAGCCTTTAAAAGTCCCACTGGAACCCAGGGGGTGGAGGAAGCGAGGGAGCACGCCAGACGCGCTGACGCTCCTGCAGCAGGGAGGAGCAGCACACCTGGTTCGACACCGACAGGCAGAGCAGGGGAGGCATTTGAGCCCCCTGTAGGAGGCTGGGGGAAAGGAGGCAACTCCACACCCCTCTCCTCCCCAGGGGTCTATTTCTTTTGAAAGGGAAAAAAAAAAAGACAAGAGAGAAGGGCGCAAGACTAGAAGCACCCTACTCAGAGGCGCTGAAGTAGGCGCCAGGCAACGCACGTACAGCTTGCCAGTCTTCATGATGGGAAGGCTATTCGTCGGGGGGCAGCCTGACAAGTGCCAACAGAACCCACCCAGAAGTGGAGTGGACAAGGTGTAGGGGAGGCAGAGCCCTATGGAACATCGCACCTGAACCATGAGTATTGCCGTCTCCGAGGGGGGCCCCCAGGAAGATCTCCACTGAACTCTCCCTTTATATAATAACACCAAGTCGTGGTGCAGCAGGGAGCCCCATGCAATGGAGCTGGGCCAGCTTGGCCCCACTCCCTGCCAAGTCCCAGGAGACGTGCATGGCAGCAGTGAGCAGAGCCAAGCTGCTGCCTCCATCACACAGGCTCACCCTGGTGGTGGGCAGCTCCCACCAAGTCCCAGGAGCTGCATGTAGGCTGTAGAGCAGGGGCGGGCAATTATTTTGGGCCGAGGGCCGCTTACTGAGTTTTGGCAACCCATCGAGGTCCACATGATAGACAGCCAGGGACAGATAAATATTAATTTTCTAAATTTTTTAGGAGCCCCGCAGGCTGGACAGAATGGCCTGGCAGGCCACATCCAGCCCCCGGGCCACATTTTGCCCACCCCTGCTGTAGAGTCCTGCGCAATGGAGCTGGACCAGCCTGAGCCCACTCCCTGCCACCATTGTGCAGCTCCTGGAACTAGGCTGGAGCCATGCGCTGTTGGGGTGCTCTGCCTGCTGCAGCCACAAGGACCCCGAGGGCCTGCTGCTCCATGTCTTTGTCACATGGCTCCAAACAGAACTAACTTTTGGACCATTTAGAGGATGATATGTATGCAGGGTTGAGTACTGGTCTCATCTAGGCTGCATCCGTGGCTGAGCACACCCCAGACATTCACCCCCAATTCATGCATGCTAAACCCCAAAAGAAAAGCAATGTAGCTACTGTACCTCAATCTTGAGCACATAACAATAAAGACAAAAACAAGCCCGTTTAAAAGCAGCATTAAGGCATGCGCTCAGGACCCTACCCTAGGGTGGCTACATTGTTTCTCGTCTGGGACTTGACCCACATGCAATGGAAGTAAGTGAGGAAAAAGCATGCTTCACAATGGCATTCTAGGTTGCATGTCAGATGGTACAAAAAGCCTACTGGGGGCACACATCCCATCAGTAACCTAGGATCTGCAGACTTCCAACCAACTTGAGTAAAAGTTGAAATTTTGGTTTTATTTCTAAAATTCGATATAGGCCAGAACCTGACAGCTAAGAAATCACCTCTTCCCCATGCCATACACTCACAGCTAGAGGGGGGAAAAAAGCATTCAGACCACAGCTCCTTTGCTTTAAACTGAAGAGAAAACATTAATTGTATTTATTCACCACTAACTCTGAAGTTTGTTCTCTACCACTAAGAATTTTAAATTAGTTCAAGTTGAACTTTGTTTTTAAAAAGGATCACTGTCAGATTTTTTCCCACATCCCTATAATAGTCTCAGTAACAGAATAATAAAGATTTTTAACTTCATATATAGCTATAACCAGGGATCTGGGTTTTCTCCAATTTTAAAAAAAGTAACCCCAAATCCACATTTTTCCATGATTAAAATGAAACACCCCAGATAGCTATATATATTAGTAGTATTTCATTTATCTGGGGTGTTTCATTTTAATCATGGAAAAATGTGGATTTGGGGTTACTTTTTTAACGCAAAATTGGGGATTTTTTTTAAATTTGAGAAAACCAGGATCCCTGGTTATAACAACTCACTTTAGTTGTATCTCATGCATTTATGATTTTTTTTAGGCTAATGGTTATTTGCCATTAAACTTCAGAATGGCAATGTTTTCATCAGAAGCTGAACAACACTGTTCTACTTCAGAGAGTTTCATGGCAAACTAC